TTTCATTCTAGTATTATTAGTCAATATACTCATTAATACAACGTTATTACTTTATTAACGTTATTACGTTATTACTTTGTAATTATAGTCATGTGACTGTACCTCATTATTAAAACTGTTACCTAATGACTGAAACCCTGCATACCAAGCTGTAATATAAAGTACTAACAATATGGCTTCCATACCTTCACCAAAACTTTGACAAGGTCCATCTTGTTTAAAAGTAAACAGACGACTATGTAGCGAGCATAATAACGAAGCTTCTTCACTACTAATTCAGGCCTGATGAAAGACAAGAAAAGACAATATGAGAGTGCAAACACAAACAAATCAACATAAAGCACTATCACAGTTGAAGCCGTGTTTATTAAATTGACTGGAGCCACCAAATGGTTCACCCTGTGTTTCTTAAGACTCCAATAAACATTTTTGTCTTTTCAACAAATATTTGATGTAAATATCTACACTCTGGGGAGCGTGAAAAGAGAAATTTTGGTCATTTTTAGAAAAAAAGGACATCAGATCGTGCACACTCACATAAAAATGCGAGTTTCACACATAATATGACTCTTACACACTTAAATGATCCCCAAGAGTGCAGTCCAGTCCGCTCAGACACAATATCAAATAATGATTAAATGGAGATAAAAATCTATAAAGAATGTTATACACTTAAAAATGTAGCAGTACAAGAGCAAATAGCACAAGAGTTTAATGCTGCAGAAATTCATTAATCTTGGGATTTAGCATAACGAGCAAAAAATTTGACATTTTAATTCCAGTTAATTATTTCAACGCTGAGGGAAATCTTGGTGCTGCTGTTTATATCAAATGTGATAGCTGCACGTCAGAGTTCTGAAGCTTAAACTGGATCATTTTTAACATTCTAGGTTACTAGTAGCTGCAGTTCCAACTGTGTAAAAGAGACTTGGCAGCAGATTATAATAAATTATAACATTTATATATTTACAGCTGGGCAACAACTTGCACATTTGAGACATGTTTGCCCAGCAGGGAACCTAAATTGCACTTAAAACATGGTGCAAATTAAAAAAAAATCAGTGAAATGTGGAGGTTCCAGACGACTAAACTGAAACATAACCTACTCCTAGCAGGTTATGCCTTGAGCATAAGTCACCATAGTGACCCAGCCAGGTAATAAGAAAGCCACTTTCGCACATAGTTGACAAAGTAGCACACCCCTCTGAATCAGCAATCATACTAACTTCATTGGGAGTTTTTTCGTAGTATGATCTCATTTCTTAATAAGGTAAATTTAAACAGGCTTGTTATACATAACATTTAAAGACATCTTACAAAAACTGCAACTTACACTACTTTAACAAAAAATATCTGGAGCTTACCTGTCCTCTTTGTTGACCTGAAAGTAGTAGGAGCGCTGACGAATGGCTGAGTAGAATGAAAAGGCCTCATTCAGGTAACTTGTTTCTGAGGTACGAAGGCTGTCAACAAAGAGGAATACATATTTCAAATTTGCATCTTTTTAAACAAATCTGCAAGTGGTAATTGATAAATTGAATGAATGCAGCAGCATTCATTTGCTTTTCTGTGTTTAGTTTAGACACTAAGCTGAGCTGTTTGAGGCTACCTGAGAGCTCTGAAAGTTTCATAACATACCAGATCTAACATGTATTCACTGTTTTACTTCAATGATAAAACAAACAAACAAACAAAAAAACATAAAGATGTGAAAACTGGACTAATGTGATCTCTTTTCTATCTTCTTACAGTAGAGCTGTCTAGAGATGCTTTGCTCTAAACCTTTTCTAGTTGGAATTTCCACAAAGCACTGATTTCTGTTTTTCCCCTAATTTTTAATTTGGATTACATTCTCTAAAGCACTTCCTGAGTTCTGTGTTTGAACAGCTCTACATAAATAAACATTGCTTGCTTGCAGTTAAGTAATGCAATACTTAAAGTTATAATGACTAGAATACTCAAAGTAGTAACAAGAAGTGGATAAATATGGGCACTTCCATTGTGGTGACAGACTAGCTTTTTCAGATGTAGTTGCCACTGAATTAAAATATCATTATTATTTTTTTAAGGAGTCCATTTAAGGAGTTTTGTGGGCTGTAAATACAATGTTTGGACGTTTCCTGCTTATGCAGAAGTGGCTAATTTCATCATGCCCAACACTTTGCCAGTTCTTTTTTTTTCCCTTAACGGTTGCTGGAAAAAACCTTCCAGGTGCAGTAGGGATAGGAATGATTTCAGTTTGTGTGCAGGAGGAGTAAACTAGTGGTGCAGGCTGCGGCGTGTATAAGGACATCATTTTTTGTTTTTACTGCACAAAAAGAAAATTGTGCGATGGTAAAGTGGAGACTGCATCCAATACAGTAACAGCTGCATTGTGCTGCTAACACAACTTCAGCTCTTTGCAAGCACCTGCACAGACAGCATGCTATCGCTAAGCCAGCCAAGAACAATAATTCTATGTTAGTGTTTGATATTTTAGTGTACTGTCATTTTCTCAAAGAATGTACGTGATGCTGAAATAAAATCAGTGGCAAGTCTTCATGAAAACGGTAAAATATACTGTCGTCTTCCACCATCTGAGTTAGGGAAGGTATGCTGATACTAAACAGACATGGAATTTTCGGGACCCTATGTTGGGACCCCAATAAGCAGTCCACTTCATTCAAAAGGCAACAACACATATATCCTACCTGATGACTACCCTATCCTTAGTCATACTAATAATGCTGCAAAACATTGATACATGACTCAGGAGGCCCTGTCACTTACTAGTAGTGGTAATAAAGCTGTCCAATTTTGGATGCAACTTCACCAATCTGCCATCTCTTCAGTCCATACCGACTGTCCAGAACCTGCCTGTCAGTAAGTATACAAAGATGTCAAACTTAACATTGAGACAATGATAAAACCAACCCTTAGAAAGAAAAAAAGAACATTCTTCATTCAAGTATTTAAACGGTACAAGAAAAAAATAACCTGTGTTGTTGCTGGAATTTCCATAGCTTAGTGTAGACGTCAAAGGTCCGTCCAAAGTAGGACTGCCACTGCTTGTGTCCATATTGAGGAAGGTCTCTGCAGCAAAAGACGGCATAGAAGAGGATAGAGAAGGCAAGAAAAGCACACATAGAATTCAACTGATTGCACTCAGCCTTTCAAACAAACTCCAATAAAAAGAACAGTGAAAACATTCGTGAAACAGAGTTGTTAGCACTCTTGGTGCTTTTTGTGACCCCAGTTACTTTTTTTGTTCAAGGAAAAGCGATGACTTTTTGTTCCATTACACATTATACAAATTTGTACAGGAATGGGGTGTCTTTTTACCCAGAGCTCAGTAATTATTTGAAAACTATTTTTTCAATTGCAACGATGCCTTCCAGTGACTGGTTTTTGAGAAAAGTGATTATTAAGCCACATTTAGTTTTGCAAAGATGCTCTCTGTTTGTCTTGAGTTTTAAATCCAGCACATCCCTTCCTGAGAGCTCAATGATATCTCACATGTTCAGCTTACAATTATCCTTGTCTTATCACTCGAAGGGCACACACACCGGGCAGCTTAAAGCCTTACCTTAAAATGTTAATGAATGCTATTAATTAGATTTTCCTTTCTCCATGCTCCAATATTCAACCAGTAAAATGTGCTAAACAGCTTTTTAAAGCAGGTTAACACTTACAGTAAAGAAAATGACACCATGCTGCACATTGTTATTAGCTATAGTTCATTTTCAAACCTTTTCAAGCTTTTAAATTTTCAAGGTAAACTTAAAATACACTTTTTATTCTCATAAAACCACCATGCACTAAAGACAGAAACCTACAATAAATGCACATTAACTGAGAAAAAACCCCTACATGGATAGCATACATAATTAGTGTATTCTGATACACACATGAGAGAATATATTGATGGTATTAAATTTGACCCTAGCTGATCTCTTCTTACAATGCTCACACGCCAACATTACTACAGTGAATGGTGAACAACCGAAATTAAACTGGATGTTTAATAGCGGTGCTTCATATTTCAACAATACTCTGAATTTGTGCGCCCTCTAAATCCTAATTTTGACCTGATGCTCCCTCTGTCAATGATTCAAATGTGACCAAAAGGCAGCGTCAGCCCTGACTACACAACTACACTGACTCACAAACCCAGTGCGTCACTCTCATCTCAGAACAAAACAAGCAGAAGGCACCAGGGTACAAAAGGATGGCTGGCTGATTATCTAGCTCATAAGACACTTTCACAATACTTCACTCATAATTTTTAAATATACAATATGATTATTGTATGAGTATTGCAATAACATATACTGAGATTTATCACCTTTTCTAAAAAAAATAATAATAAAATAAATTATGTCCTAAAGGTTAATCTGTTTTATCCAGTAATATGAAGTTATGATGGGCATTATTGTAAGAGCTAGAAAGCAGGCACTTTCAGTCCTGCCTGTCTGTGAAATTAACAGAAAGTATTAATTTACCAGGATAACACAATAACTTGTGTCTGAAAAGTATTATGTTTCTCTTTTCATCTTAAAGTCCCAGATTTAAGCTGAAATAAGTACATTCTATTAGCAACTAGATATAAACAGTGGAAGCCTACCTTACCAACATTGATCAATAACAAAAATATGGTGCCAAGCCACCAGAAACACAGAAAAACAAACAGTAGGGCTAGAATGTTTTAGAGATTTCCCAACTTCCAGCCATTAGCCACAATCGCTAGATCCCTGGCTGTACGAGACTGCATGCCAAAGATCCTTGGGCAAGATACAAAACCCAAGTTGCTCTCCGGTGCAACGACTGGAGTGAGCATGTCTCTTTTCACACCTTTCAGTCTTTAACTTATTAATGGGATGCTTTTGCAGACTGTTAGTACATTTGAAAATAGCAAAATGAAGCACCAACATTGGTCATGGCTTTGGTTTATATCTGTGTCAGTTTTTCATTCAGCAGAACAGAGTCACTAAGAGCTAGGCTTCAAAAGGCAATACGAGCTAAAATTTTACTATTGGAAAAGTAAATGCAAGTTAACTTTGATACTTTTCATAAAAACCGGGAGTACCCTACATATCCATGTCAGTCGGGGGCCTGGCCCCATTTTGTACTCAATTTCTTAGTGTCAGTTCTGGCCAGCTTGGCTTATATCAAATGGCAGGTTTACCAACTCAGCAGGAAAACTCCTGCTACTCCAGATGGCCAGTCTCTGTTTATTCAACAGTTTTTCTGAAGCTTTCTGAAGCTGTGATAGCCACTCTAACAATATCACAAGAAACAAATCCAAAAGAAATGTGACTAGGAATGCATCTGAGGACTAGATGAAGTGTAAACTACAATATCTTGCTTTGTGTATGACAAAAAGAAAACAAGCAACCTTAAGAACCAAGGCTTCAGTCAGGGTGATTTGTGTAGTTGCCATTTTTTGAATTGTTGTGAGCAGCATGACCCTTGTCAGTTTCTTGTTGTTGTTTTTTTTTACAACTCCAACAGCAAACTCTAATCTTAGAATCTTGTCTAGATGTAAGGAATTGTGTACAAAAGACAAAAGTGTAAACAAACCAAAGAGCTTCTACGCTTAAGCGCTTTAAAGCTTTGCTGTATTGATGACAGCTTTGTACATGCTTGGCAACATCTTAACATTCAGGTTCTCACCCAGAATGGGTAGTGTTATTGATAAAATTTCTTCCCTTCTTATTGTGTGTTCAGACCCAACACAAAAGGCACTTTTAGATTCAATAAAGGACTAGATGTTACAATCCCAGTCTGCAGCATAAAATCCTCTTCTGTTGTTACATTGTATTTATATTAAGTCACATCGAAACAAACAAACAAAAGAAACCACAGTAACAATTTTGCAAATAAAAAGCGTGAGTAGTGACTTTGTGTGCTGTGATTTTATGCACGGAACAAAGTAACAGTAACTTTATTAAAATGTGGATTGCCGTCTAATTGGGTCTGCCTGTTTTTGACATATTAATTTGTCCTCCTTTTAGTAGATTGCCTAACTCATGCCTGAAATGAACAGGCTACTTCAGTGCTTATAAATAAATTACTTAGTGAAAAATCTAGGACCAGTACTGCTTCTTGATCTCAGGAGTTCTGCTCAGAGTGTGAGGGACACTTCTTTTTCCTTCTGTAACATTCAGTAAGCTGCAGCAAGTAGAAACATCACAGAGACATCATGTTGCTTCTAGCTTTCTCTCTAAGTGATCATCTCACTTGTAAAATGTAAATAAAAGCGCAGTTGGTATCTTTGATTTATGTCCGTGATCGTTCTGTCAGCTGACGTTGCGGACGAGAAGAAGCAGCACAACAAGAAGGTGGAACATAAGTGGGACAAACTCCAACAACGGGTGGAAATGAATCCACTAAAATGGCTCGCACTCTATAGCAATCACAATTAGTTTCTAAAGAGTGTAAATAGGTCAGCAATGCTCAGCTGATAATTGCCTCAGTTATAAAATGTTTCAAACTCCAAATCAGGAAAGTACGACAAATAGCCATAAGTACCATGAGTTAGTTAATTGTGTTGATTCATAAATGTTGTCCATACTGTTTCCAAGATATAAGTTTATAAGAAAGATATTAAAGATTGGAGATCGCTAGTGATGTTGTCAACATTAGCCTCTCACTCTAGATGAATCACAGAGATTATATCTCTTAAAACGGGAACCTTTATTCTTTTTTTCAGCAGAAGACTAATAGCAAAGACATACAGGAAAGCGCCTAAAGCACATCCCCGTTTCACCCCACTGGAAACATTAAAAGGTTCACTCAAAAAGCCATTTACTTTTACTTGCACAATGGACTTTTATGAAAATTCACATGTCTTTATCACTGTCTACAAGTAGGAATGTGAAACTTAAACGCTTTCTTTTGATGCAAACCTATATCAAGCCTGTGTCATTGCCAGTATATACAATTTCTCTTAAAGTTATCTCACATCTGAAGACTATAAGTCTATTTTTATCAATAATGATACACACATCATTAACTCCATTCATTATAATTTTAGCTAATATTTTATAATCCACATTCCTTATAGATTGCTGCCTGTAATTATTTAAATCACAATCATCGCCATTTTTATGAAATAAACACA